TGATCCAATTCCGACTGAACAAACGCTTGCTCAATGTCAAAGTGGAGAAATTCCAAATTATGCTTGCACGCCAATGCTACCAACAAACGAATCGATGCAGCATTTGCAGTAGGCGAGAAAGTCTCAAGATAATCCACACCATGCTTCTGCTTGAAGCCCTTCGCTACAAGCCTAGCCTTGGCCTTCACTATCTTGCCTGTTTCATCTGCTTTCCATTTGTAGACCCATCTAGCGTCTATCACGTTACAGCCTATTGGAACCTTTACTGCTAACGCGAACGTTCCTGCTCTCAACAAGCCTTCAAATTCTGCAGACATGGCCTTGTCCCAAATCGTGGAGTACTTTGATCGGCGGGCTTCTTGATAGCTACCCGGTNCCTACGTCCTGAATGAGCACTTTCGGCAATTCCATTGCATCAGACGCTCTCTGTTCCACCAAGAGTGCCTCTATTATTTCTGATGCGGAGATGGGTCCTAGAGTGGCCATGAGGCCGGGTACGCTCTGCTGATTTACTGCCCGAGTTTGCGCACGGGTTCTGCCTTCTCTGACTTCAACATTCTCATTCACAGCAGTGTTGTAACTAGCAAGCTCATGCCGCGCACGACGATTGGATGGAACGTGCGTAGCAGGGGGAAGTGTCTCTGATTCTACCTCCTGCCCTCCCGGCTCAACCAACTCTTCCTGACTCTCTGACTCTACCTCCTGCCCTCCCGGACCCGCCGATTCTGCCTCCCCTGTCTCCGGCCCTCCNTGCCCGATTTTGCGCACGGGTTCTGCCTTCTCTGACATCAACATTCTCATTCGCAGCAGTGTTGTAACTAGCAAGCTCATGCCGCGCACGACGATTGGATGGAACGTGCGTAGCAGGGGGAAGTGTCTCTGATTCTACCTCCTGCCCTCCCGGCTCAACCAACTCTTCCTGACTCTCTGACTCTACCTCCTGCCCTCCCGGACCCGCCGATTCTGCCTCCCCTGTCTCCGGCCCTCCCTGTCCTTCCTCATCGGTGAACTAGTCTGCTGAAGAAGACATAGGGGGGGCTGCACTACTGGGGGAATTAATCGCGGGCGGAGATGGCATAAAGGGGGGTTGACCTACACTGCCTGCATCAACACTGCCAACCTCATCGAGTGCTCCACCAGAGACCGTTACATTACGTCGCATAAAGGACGTGGGGAACTCCTCTCCCTAAAAGCGGCCATACCTCAGCGTCTACATCGTCGTCACGTTCCTCCCCTCCCTCCTCTGCGACCTCAATCGGCAAGAGAGACGATTGCGGTGGAGGGAGTTGTGACGGCAACGCTTCCCACGTCACATTCCTCGTTTCCTGAATAGTTCCAACCCTCGTAAGTACTCTATGACAGTCACGCGGGTGGTCTCTCGAAGGACCGACATAAAAGCAAGCCTCACCCTTCGGTAGCAGTTTAGACGGACGCTGCCACCTACAGTACGCCGGTTTCAAAAACGGATACGGTCTAGCATGACTAGCTTCACCATGCCACATCTCATATGGCGACTTACTGTCAGGGTTAGCGGAACAAGCTGTGTGGTTAATTGCTTCGCAAGCCCAATGCATCGCCTCAGCCCATAGTCTGTCAGTCTTAGGTAATTGCACATGCCCAAACAAAACTTTTGCCTGAATACGAGCAGCCATTGCCGCCGCCTCAATCAATCCCAATCCACGCTCTGCAACACCGTTGTATTGGGGACTGTAAGCCGGGGTGAACTCTTGCTTAATCAAGAGCTCGTTGCACACGGACGCAAATTCTCCTCCGAAAAACTCCCCCCCATTGTCAGATCTAACAATCTCAACCAATGACGGGATACCATCAGCACGCACACTTGCAAGGAAACTCCGGAAAGCACTCGCAGCGTCTGGTTTACTTTTCAGGAAATACATCCATGTACGTCTCGTGAAATCATCCTTCACTATCATGGGGTACAGTTTACCCCCTACGGACGCAGCGTCCTTCCGCCCTACCAGGTCAACAAAAACTCTGCCCAACTTTTGTCCGACCTGCATTTTGTTTCATGAGCAATCCTTTTCTTGAATGCCTTCGACATCGAACATCCCGTACAAGCATGCATTTTACCGGTCAACTCCATACCTAGTCGTTTTGCTGTTGTACGAAGTAATCCCTCATGTGACCTTTCTCCCCACACTTGAAACACGTTCCCTGAAACTTCTGCTTGGAGGAATCAGATTCAGGGCGAGACTTCGACTTTGCGTGATTCGGCTTCCGGCTACTCTTCCTCTCTGCTCTAGACACAAGAGCTACGCTGTGCTTCTTCGTGCCAGTCTGTGTCTGTCTGCAAGTCTAGGCAACGCTCACGTACTTTGGTCTCGATGAAAGCAGGATCGTTTGGGCAAAACACTACAAGAGTCTCACGCAAAGTCTTGTATTCATGGGATAGTCTATTAGATATATTGGGGGTACTCGTAGCATAGTATGACGGTTGAGATGTT